TACCTATTAAATACCGCTAACCCAAAAACATTAATTAAGTCACGACTAACAGATTCTCTTTTTAAGTCGAAAAACGTATTTCTACAGGTATGCAAATGGCGTGTAATTATTGTCAATCTCATTATGAATTCATACCAAAGAAGAGAAATTCGCTACCTCGACTTCTATATAGCTTTTAACTCCATCGTTATCCATGACTTGCATTCCCATTTATAGTCATCTACTTTTGTTCGCCAAAACTGTCGATTGAAAATAGAAATTGGTTCGTTCGAAAGTGAACAAACTAAAAAAATGTCGTAGTTATTACTTCTGCGTTCTATATTCCGCAGTTATCGCTTTAAATATTTGTTTTACTTGATTAAAACCACTACTGATATTCCGAAAACCAACCCATTTCTACTTGTTTTAAAAGCTGGAATAAATCTACGCCAATCGATATAGCATTTCTTGTGTTTTCTAATCTTTATATTTTGAGATAAAATTCCCAGGTGTGCGAGCAAATTTCTTACCCCCGTTTTTGTAATTCACAAAAATTTCCCAAATCACTTGGATTTGCAATTTATTTTTTTCATTTGTGCTAATTCCCGGGATAATCCGTAGGCCCATTGCGTTATTAACCCCAGAAACTAATTGAAATTTATAGTAAAATCTTGTAAATTCTATTTAATTCTGATGAGAAATTATTTGCGTACAACCCCTGAATCTGCAGTCTAAATGTTATCAGCAAGTGTATATTTCAAGTTTCCACTTGTGTTACAAAACAATACATTCATTCTTGAATGATGGGGGTGGAAAATAGGCGTTTGCCTCTAATGGCTTCTGAAATATTAATGTTACTCTCGACTGGCAATGCAAATTACTCTCTCACTGAATAAACAAATATTTATTTTTTTTCCGACTAGTTTTATCACATTAGGTTGGGCAGTTTTAAATAAATTGAAAACTATAGGGTGTGTTTATTGCTACTTGCAGGGAATATAAAGCGAAACCCAGTTACGCGTTACAATTATCGTACATGCTTTCTCTCAGTTTTTTCATACGCAAGAACACGAATTTCTGTAAGAAAGTGAGAAATAACAATCCATGTAATTGCAGTGGAATTTCACTGTTTTTGGGCAATGCACTTCCTATTGTATTGAGGATAATTGTATTAAAAGGACACACTAAAAAGGGTTACCAAGCAAGTTTATTATGGCGATGTGAATGACAATGCCGAAAAACGATGCCCGTTTCGGCTTTGGAAACCAGTCGAGTTGCTAATGTGATGGTTCTTTTTCATTAATAAAAGTCCACTATTCATAACAGGATTACATTCAGAATAGTACAATCTCGGTTTTAAACTCGAGTTTTGAGTTCATATTGTGCTTGATATAAAAACTGAAAAACAAGTACAATTGCTTATAGAATTTTAAATTAGTTTAAATATGCAAAAACCCGCTGCCATACAGTTGGAAATAATGCATTATTTTCATTCAAAAGTTTATTCTTAACTAGGGTTTGAAACGCTAATAAAAAATTTATCACTTGAGTCAAATAAAATTATCATAAGGTCATTTTTTATTTCAGCTGCAGTGAGCACCAAATATTTATTTAATTACTCACCTGTTTTCTATCAAAAAATAGCTGGTTTATTTACCCAATTATTAACCAAATTTAGTAGAATAAATATGACCAAAGTGCTTGGAATAGTTGCTCCATATGAACCATTTTTTACAATGTTGTGCCAGATGTGTTTATAATATTTTTCGCACATACCATAGTGAAATCTATTTATTATAAAGTTATTAGTTTTTAACTATTATCAGTGCATAAATTTTTATAGCTTGAAATAAATTGACCTTCCTTGTTTAACCACAAATCATAAATAGAATCAATTGACGTCGGATGAATTACTATAAAAATTAACAAGATTTTTGATAAATTTCAATATGTACAAATATTTACTCATGTTTACAATTTTCAGGTCATGGGTGAAAATATAAATAAATAATTCAACCAGACGGAAATAGAATGATCAAATTTTTTGCAGACTTGAGTAGTGTTTTATTGACATTTTCCATTTACAATCGCTTCAACATATCTCGCATGTGAAAACTGTCAAAAGTAACACATTTGCGTGCCATTTTATTGCTGTCACCATTAAAAAATTCGAACGCTAACTAAATTCCCACGTTTTATCGGATCGAATATGCAAGTTTACATTTAGATACCAAATAAAATTTATTTTTATTTAATTTATAATAATCAGAACATGAAATTAGAGATTATATTATAGTAAAAAGCTAGTAAATTTAGATTTGATCAAATTGTTATAAATCTCTAAATCTAAACCAAAGATTTAGTAGTGTCCTCAAGCATGCTATCATATTTTCTAATGTTTCTATTATTGGATGACATTGAATGTTCCACTTGCATAAAATCTTGATTAAACTTTTTAAATTACAAACAAGCAACCAGTAAAATCTATTTTTGCAATGATCACTAATCAACTATATAATCAGATATCTAATTTCCTTCGAACTATACTTATCCTACTTCTTCTAAATGGTTTCAAGAAATGCTTATTTTAATTTTCTTCACCAATTATGTTTGTTAGAAATTAATATAAACTTCCAGAGCGAAATTATCCGTTTTCTTTTATTGTTTATTAATTCCTTGATGAGTTTTTCACAAATTCAAACCTCGTCCAAATTTTGAAAGTAAATTCTTGTCAATTAATAATTAGCATTTGGCCTTGTTACATTCCTAAAGTGTCAATATCCAATTTTCCTCACCTGCGTGTATTCGGGCCTTGGGAAGTACCTCCTGTCCCTTTCGAAGCCCTCCTCGTGCCGGAGTAAAACCCTCTCGACTCTCGCCAAAATGGGTGAATCCAAAACTCCGGTTGGCCGCTCCGGAGGCCCGGAATCGGCGTCATTTTGCACCAACATCGCACACAAGTGTTTGAAAATGTGAATGCGCGACTGACGAGACTATGAGTGATGTGTCGTGAACGGCGAACGGAAGGAGACTAAGCTGTGGGGAATACCTTCGAGCTTGGAGTGGTTGTGGTTTGGAGCGATATGCGCTCCTCGATGCACTTCTCCTGGAATTTGCGATTTTACGCCCGGAAAAACTCCGGTCCAAACAATTTCGGAATTTCTACGCTCGGATGTTTATCGAGTCGGTAACGGCATAATCGCGATTATCTCTTTTTCACGCCGAAGAGAAAATTTACTCGGGTTTTATCCTTACATGGGCTTGAAGCGTGTAACCATTTTGGGTTGGTGATCACGAACAATATCGACTAATTTGCTGAAATTTGACTTTCTATCAGATTTCTACGAATTTATCAATTCGAAATGAGTGGGTTTTTAGGCACAACTGAAATTTATTGATTAGATAAGTTATCGAACGGCGTAAATGAGGCACCAATGAAATATGCCTTTTGTTTTAATTTAAAAAAATTCAACGATAATAGGTACCAAAGATAACATTTTACACGGGCTCAAAATAGGTTAAGGACCGTAAAATTGTAACAAGGACTCATTTTTTGAAAAATTGTGGTTTTGCGATAACAAAATGTGATTATTGCAATTCAGTAGACGTTGTGTGTATTTGTGACATCGATTTTATTTTAGGTTTGTGATAAAGATAATCTCACACACGTGTAAAAATTTTAGCGTTAAACAAATATTGATGAATAATAAGAAAACAAATTTTGTGCCTATTTCTATGTTAATCATAAACATTTTTTTTATTTGTAATGATTCCATGTTTAACAAAAGTAGTTAATTTTAACAAAAATATTGATTGTAAAATTCAATCTGAGGCGATTTTTAGAGCAACAAGGCATCGTCTCTAATCTAAACAAATAAAGAAGGTGAAATGAAGTAATGCTTGCTTCCGGGAAGTGTCACGGATATGAGAAAGTAAATTTCTTTGATTAATTGTTGAGTTTTAGAATGAATGTTATACATTAAAAATTTCTATTTATTTTAGATACAAATTAAAACGTTTTGTTACTTTGTTTAATTAATTAATTTGATGTTTCGAACATTTAAAAAATTAAAAATTATTCCTTCAAGTGACTTTTTAGTGAAAAGTTTTATTTGAAATTGAGGGTTGATACTCAATATTTTGAGTGACTCACATCTTTATTCATCCAAGGTTCAAACAGACACAAAATAGAATTTATGGGTGCTGACGACTGATGTCTAAAATGCTCGATTATCAGATTTCAGAAAACTTTAAGCTTTGTTGTAATAAAAAATATCGATTAGAAAATGTCTCTACATATAATTTCTTTAGCCAATTTAAATAATAAGTACGTTAATTATTAATAGGTAAATAAATAAAACAATATAAAAAGATGTTTAAAAAATAATTGTGTAAAATAATTCAGAATAGTAATCGTAAAT